CCGCACCCAGGCCTGCAGCTGGCTGAGGCCCAGCCGCCGCCAGCCCCCCACGCTGCGGCCAGTCGGGGTCCCGTGGGGCAGGCAGCGCCGGTCCGTTCTGAACAGAGCGCAGAAGCGACACAATGAGCCAGCGCTGCCGCCGCCCTCAGCCGCACCCCCGGGAGCTGAGCTGGGGTCAGGGAGGCGCGTGCGTGCTCTCCCCATGGGCAGGGCCCCTCAGCGCAGCACCCCTCACGGGGTGCAGGCGAGTCGGCCCTCGGCACGAGCACCGCCGCTCCGTCAAAGGGCGTTCGGGACCGTGGCCTAGAAATGCTGGCTGGAGGGCTCTGGGAGCCATGAGCACACGGTCGGGGTGGGCAGGTGGGCAACTGTGTCCCCAGGGTCCTGCTTGCAGAAATGGGCGGGGCCTGGCCCCCTTCGGGGAGCGGGCCTGGAGAGGGGGCTCCATCTCCTCTCCAACCCAGACCACTGGAGGCCGGGCCTGGAGGGTGCTGAGAGCAGTGGGCACCGTGCTGGCGGAGGGTGCTGCCAGCCCTGGTTCTCCCTGACTGGGGTGGGCTCCCACTGCGCATGGGCTGGCAGGATTTGGGGGTGCCAGCTTGACCACTGCTTTGGCTCCCGTGAGCCCAACTCCCCACCCGGCCGCAAGGGCAGCCCACCCAACCCCTACACCCCCGACGGGTGCCCAGGCAGAGGACGGCCTGCGCCCCAGGGCGGGACCAGGGCCGGCAGGCTGGAAGCTCAGTTTCGCTGCCTGGCTCGCGGGGCCACCTCAAGCCCTCCTTGACCCCAGGCCCGCCAGCCGGCAGCACTTCCGGCACCCTCGACCTCCCCCAGTGCCTCCACGCAGAAGCAGGCCGATGGGCGCGGCGCAGACTCTGACCTGCTTTCTGCCCGCCAGGCCGGGCGCCCTGACCCGACCGGAGTGAGTCACAGGTCAAGCATCTGCCGAGCACTTCCGGGAAGGCCTGCCCTGAGGGACCAGGCCGGAGCCCTCCCGCAGATGCGCCCAGGGCGCCAGGGAGGCGGCGGGCGCTTGCCGAAAAGAGGGCGCAGCCAGGGTGTGGGAAGCAGGGCATGCACAGGCCAGGTCAGGCGGCCCTGCCCGTGGCCAACTGGTCTGTCCACCTGCAGGACACCTGCAGCCCCGCCCCCTGGCTGCAGACCCAGCTCCCCCGGACTCTGGCCAGCAGCAGGCTCCAGGGTCCTCGCCGCGAGCGCAAGCCCATCAGGAGGCTGGTCGCCGCCCTCACAGCCGCTGGCGCCCCTCTGCAGGGGTGCTGCCCAGCCCGCCGCCACCCCCATGGGCCCACAGCACCGGTAGGCTGTGGCGCAGCACAGGAGGCCGGCCTGGAGCGCATCCCCTGAATCGGGGGCCTGCCCCTCCTCCTGTGATCAGGCCACCCTCCAGCAGGCCGCTGCCACGCCCAGCCCAGCCTGTCACTGACCCAGCCTGGCCACCACAGACTTCTCTGCAGCAACCGCCTCAGAGACAGAGACTGACCCGCTCCTGACCTTCCTGCGCGGACCTCAGTTTTGTAACCTGAAGTGCGAAGGCGGTGATGTGGGTGACCCCGGCACCCGGGAGGTGAGCTGGCCCCGAGAGACCCCGATTCCAGGAGGGCGAGAGGCAGTCCCAGACAGTAAGCCGGCAGGGCGCACCCACCTGACTGGGCAGACGCCCGCTGGAAGCCCTGGGCGCCACCCGACCTGGACAGAACTGCGGGTCTGACTAAGCGGGAACGCTGCCAGGCGGGGCCAGGGAGGCGGCCTCCTCGGGAGGGCCCTGAGCCTGCCGGCGGCCGGGCCGCGGCCCCTCGACCCCAGCCTGCCCTCCGCGGTGGTGTGTGTGTGGTCACCGAGTTCTGCTTTCCTGACCGAAGGCCGCGCCAGCCACGCGACGCCGCGCGGCTCCTGTGTCCAGAGGGGGTCCGGGCCTCCGACCCCGAGGCCCGGGGAGGCCGGACGAGGCCCGAGGGCCGCCCCGGCCCGCGCCACACTCCTGCGAGGTCAGCGACGGCCGCGGACCCCCGCCAGTGCCCAGCGCGCCTCCGCGGAAGGTGGAAGCGGAGGCGCTCAACGCCACGGCCATCCGCGTGCTGTGGCGCTCGCCAGCGCCCGGCCGGCAGCATGGCCAGATCCGCGGCTACCAGGTCCACTACGTGCGCATGGAGGGCGCGGAGGCCCGAGGGCCGCCCCGCATTAAGGACGTCATGCTGGCCGACGCCCAGGTAGGCGGCGTGCGCTGGGGGCCGGGCGGGGC